GTTTGCTGGTCCAATAGAGCCTGGTGGAACCACTGAGACTATGGCCCCTAGCTCCCCTTCAGGTCTGGAATTGAACCCACACCTGTGGTTTCCAGCCAAGCAAAATACAGGCATATGAGTTGAACATTTACCTTAAGTAGATATACTTTTTGGAGCGAACAATCATGGGAGAAAGAAGGGCTGCTTATGCACAGGGAGACAACTCACGGGACAGAAATGTATGGAGGGATGGACACTGGGAAGAGGTAACTAATGGGGAGGAAGTGGGAAGGGAGCTGTTACATTGTGGTAAACTGTGGTCAATGACATGAGACAAAGTACATGTGAACTGCTGTATGGAAGGTGAACTTGCTCTGTAAATCATCACCCAAATCACACACAAAAAAGAAATAAGATGACATATTGCAGTGGGTATGTTTGCTGCAAAAGGCTTTTTTTTGTTAAAAACAAAAATGTCATCTTGAGACTAAGTTGCATCTTACCCAATGCATGGTATTTTCATTCATCTCATATGCATGGCAAAACTGAGTAATGAATAAGGAAGTCCAAAGAAGCATTGGTGCCTTTGAAATTCTACATCTGTTAATGTATAGTAAAACCATATTAGCTTTTTCTTTGACCTTATTCATGTATTCACTCACTTATTCATCTATCCATTAAATATTTATGAAGTGCCCATTATATGTCAGGCTCTCAACTAGGTGTTAGGCTTCCAGTTTCTATCTTTGGGAGCGTGTAGGCTTGTGGCACACATTGAACTTACTGCCAATGAAAAACTTGTAGCTCTGTGTCTTTGTTCATGTAATTTTTTCACCTGGGAAATACTATTTATCCCACATATTTAAACTCTACCTGTCATTGAAGGTATATAAGTTAAATTCAGTTTTTTAATACATGAAAATCATTTGGAGAAGGTTATTAAAAATAGATTCCTGGACCTTTGCATGTTCTAATATCTCCTATTTAGGTTGATGATACTGATGTGGTCAGTTAATGTGCCATTGTTTGGTGTATTCAGTCATCTCTTTTGAATCATAAATTTGTCATAACATTTATTTTATATATGATTTATTTGATCACAATTATAGCTAGAAATTGCATTGTTTTATAATTGAAAAAGCTCTTTTATGTATATTTTTTTTAACTTAATATTCAGGTGTCATGGGTACTTCAGCTACTTATTGTCTCCATTTTCTAATGGAGGAAATGTAGATTTAGAGAGATAAGATGATTTACTTAGTTCATCTGAGGCCAAGTTAAGATTTTAATCTAAATTCTTGATAAAATATAGATTGTGGATTAATTTTGTTATGAAAATTTTACAGGAGCATTTAATTTTTCATACATCTAACCCTTATCTCCCCAATTTATATTTTAAGTGCTTTAAAGCAGAAATTTATCCTGTACTACCATGTATACATTGAGTGCCTAAAGCAGGCCTAATATACAAGTAGTCAATGAGTATGTACTAATTATATATAATTGTATATAGTCTCCTGAAGTAAGACCTTTGTAAATTTATTTGACTGTTAGGCTCTCTGGTGGCTTTGGGCTGCTAACTAAAGAGTGGGTGGTTTGAATCCACCAGCTGCTCTGCAGGAGAAAGATGATGCAATCTGCTTCTATAAAGATTTATAGCCTTGGAAATATGGGAGGCAACTTGATGGCAGTGGGTTGTGTTTATGAAAGTATATAATCAATTAAAACATCAATTAAAAGTATATTTGTAGTATTTGGACCTACCTAGGGTACTTTTCTTTTTATCATGGAAGTACCCTACACATGTTCACCATAGTCTTTGGAATTGCTTTATAAATCCCATTTCCAAGTGAAAGAAGCACTTATTTTTTTTAAAAAACCAATGTATTCATGTATTTTAAGAGTGTACAATACAAATAATATTTAATAGTATATAGTCATATACCATTATGATGTATCTATGTTTCATTTATTCCAGGAATGCCTGCTTTTCTTAGCTGGTGCTGGAACGCAGACAGTGCTGTGGCATTTGTTTCCCACAGAGGTCCACTATCAATTTGGACCATCTCAGGACCAGAGAGTGGAGTGACTGTGCACAAAGATGCTCATAGCTTCTTGTCTGATATCTGTATATTTAGATGGAATACTCAAAAAAAAGGGAAAGTTGTGTTTGGTCATATTGATGGAAGTCTGTCAATTTTTCAACCAGGTAAGAATTTAATCTTAAATTTTATTTTCTTAGCATATATAAATTTTTTATTTCCATGGCATAAAACCAAAAGTAACCAAGTTTTAATTTTAAAGTGATAGTTATACAAACATTATCCAGCCTTGTGCTAATTCTAGTGATTTGATGTAAATTTTATTTGTAAGGCGTTGTAGAATATTCAGCTCAGGTGTGCAGATTCATCTTTAAATTAACCCAAATCAAATATTTATCCCATGCTTTAACTTTTTAAGTCAATTCTTTAAATCTTTGTATTTACTAAGAAAATAACCTGAATGATCAATGGTATATAGGTGGATTATGTGACAACCTACTGATACTCCAAAATATTTTTCCACCTGCTTGCAAAAATACAATTCTGATGCCACAGCTTCTTAGTTTTAGATCCTAGTGTAAAAACCCTTTAAACCCATATTAGTTAATTAATCCGGCTGAAAGGGAGGATCTGAGAAATTAGTTTATATTTATTTTTTAAATTTAAACAATAAAGATAAATATAATGAAGAAAAATGAAAAATTTCCTAAATAGCTGTCCTTCCACAAATAAGCATTGTTAACATTTGCATAACATACTCTTATGTCATCTAGTGTCTCTGTTGATGTATGTTATTACTGTCTGGCTAGAGCAATAGATGAAAATTCTTTCTCAGGAATAGAATCACTGCTTTCACAAAACATAACTACAGTCAACATATCTGATATTAATAGAAGATTACATTGAAATTGAACAGAAAAAATTACTGAAATTCAAATAAATCTTTCTTGGGGAGATGATATTTCTAAATTAAAAAAAAAAAGATTATATAAGCCATTTCTACATTAGGGCCATTAATCCCCCCCACCCCCAATCTTTTCCTGACTTCTTAGCTTTATCCTTGGGCAAATTCTGCCCTTTTGATCTCATATGATTGATTGTTCTAAGTACATTTCTCCCTGGTATTATTGTTCATGTTTTAGGCCTGTCTATCATTAGGAGCTCTGGTAGTGTAGTGCCTAAGGCACTTGACTGCTAACCAGAAGGCTGGTGGTTCAAACCCACCAGCCAGCCACTCCTCGGACGGAAGATGGGGTAATCTACTTCCGTAGTGATATCGCCTCGGAAACCCAAGGAGGACTCGCTATGAGTTGGGTCCGACTCGACAGCGCATAACAACAATAACATCATTTGGCTGAAAGTTGAGCCACAAGAATTGAGTTCATTTTGCAGCTTATGTTCTGAAGAACCATAGTGTCAGGGTTTTCACCATTCTTCATCAGACCAGTAAGTCTGGTCTTTTTTATGATTTTGAGTTTTGCTTTACATTTTTCTCCCCTTCTATCTGGGACCTCTTATTGTGATCCCTTTCAGAGCAGTGGAAAGTGGTAGCTGAGCACCATCTAGTTCTTCTGTTACCAAAACCCACTGCCATCGAGTGGATTCCAACTCATAGCGACCCCCAATGGGTTTCCAAGATGGTAAATATTTATGGAAATAGTCTTCCTTTAGCAGAGTGACTAGTGGGTTTGAACCTCCAGCCTTCTGGTTAGCAGTCAAATGCATTAGGCACTGCGCCACCAGTCCTTCTGTTAGGGCCATTAAATTTTAAAATACATTTTAAGTAGTATCTATCATTTACCTTTAAAAAATACATTAAAAAAATTCTTTTTTTTCCCTCCTACCCTCTCTGCTGCACCTCTTGATAATTGTGCTGTTATTAGTTTTATTATAATAGAACAGAGTTTGTAATATTTATATTTTTAACCAACTCCTGTCATGCTATAACCTTATTCTTATATTTAAATGATTTTAACATTTAGCACAGATTTCAGTTTCAGCTTCTACAACCTGAAAGTCTTAATTTTTGTTACTATTTGGTCTGGCTGGATTTCAGAACAACTCATGGTGTTGTTTCTCAACACCTCATAGGTGCACTGTCTCTGAGCTCTTTTGTGTTGAAGAATATCTTACTTTCCCTATTATAGTTGAAGGGTATCTTGGCTCAGCATGGTACTCCTTAGATTACCCTTTCATTCCTTCAGAACTTTGGATACTGTCCCTTCTGTCCTTTAGTGTTAAGTGTTAAGAAGTAGAAGCCTCTCCTGATTATATCCTCTTGAATGTAACAAGCTTCTACCATGGCTCTTGTCACTGTAATATTTTTATTTTTCCCCTTCTTTCCAAATTTCTATCTTTTAACTTTCTCCTTTCATTATCTTTATAATTGTAGTAATTTCTTAGTACTGTTATAACAGATAATCATAAGTTTAGAGGACTGAAACAATGCACATGTGTCTTAGAGTTTTGGAGGTCGGATTTTGGGTCAAAATTAAGTTCTTGGCAGGGCTGAGTTCCTTCTGAAGGCTAGGAGAAAATCTGCTTCCTTGCCTTTTCCGTTTTCTACAGGCTGCCCATATTTCTTGGCTCATAGCTCTACATCACTCCAAGCTCTTCTTCCATCAGATTTCCTTTCATCATAACATCTCTTTCTCTGATGCTGACTCTCCTGCCTTCCTCTTTCCCTTTTAAGGACCTTGTGACTACATTGGGCTCATCTAAATAATCCAGGATAATCTGTCCATTTCTAGATCCTTAATGTAATTCCATCTGCAAAGTCCTTTTTTCCCATGTAACATAACATATTTACAGGTTTTAGGGTTTAAGATGTGAACATATTTTGCAGGGTAAGGTAGATTATTCTGCCTACCACAATGATGTATGCACATCTGCCTTTTTTAAATTCCTCATTCTTCAGCAGTATCTTTGTACATGTCCTCTGCCATTCCTTCTGGTTTTACTTTAACGCTGGGACAGTTTCATCTGTTTGTTGAAGATTAGTATGAGGAGGGATCAGTGACCATTTGTTGTCTCAAAAACTTCTTCACCAAATTGATACATCTTTTGCATTGGGAGCAGATTCTGCTTTTAATTGCTAATTCCGGCTCTCAGTTAAGCAGCTTACTTAATTCACAGACTTTCTCTATTTTGATCTAATGAGTACCATATTTCCTCCCTCCTATACCCTTCTGACGGGAGCTCTGGTAGCATAGTGGCTAAGACACTTGCCTGCTAACCAGAGGGCTGGTGGTTCAAACCCACCAGCCACTCCTCGGAAGGAAGGTTGGGCAATCCTACTTCTGTAGTGATACTGCCTCGGAAACCCAAGGAGGGGTCGCTATGAGTCGGGGCCGACTCGACAGCACATAACAACAACATACCCTTCTGACAGTGTTCCTTGTAGCTGTTAGTTAATTTATATCCAATAAAGAAGATAATGTGCAATATGGTTCCTCTGTGGCCCCTCTGAAGTATATAACCAGATCTCATTATGGATATTCTCTACTTCCCCTGAATAGCCTACATTTGTAGATTTTATCAGAAATGTGATAGTTTCTTTTTGTGCTGTCTGAGATTTGAAAGGACTATGAGGAATGTGTTGTTATTTCGGTTCAAATTTAATTCTAGATATTTTTCATACATTGTGAGCTTTTTAATGCACTCTGGCTTTCTCTTTTATGTTGTATTATTACCATTAAACATCTTTGAAGGTTTTAAGCCATATGACATTGAGGCTTGGTATACTTATTTTAGCATAAAAAGATAAGGAAGAATCAAGACCTCCTTTGCTTTTCTCTTTCCTTGGTTTACATTAGGATAGAATTACAACATTTCAGCAGTCTAAGCTATTGGCTAGGAGCTTGGTAGCGGAGTGCTTAAAGCATTTGGCTGCTAACCAGAAGGCTGGTGGTTCAAACCCACCAGCCACTCCTCGGAAGGAAGCTTGGGCAATCTACTTCCATAGTGATACTGCCTCGGAAACCCAAGGAGGGATCTCTATGAGTCGGGTCCGACTCGATGGCACATAACAACAACAACGAGCTATTGGCTTTGGGAAGAGGCCACTGTTTTCCAAGAACTCAGTCTTCTAGTTGTTAAAATAATTTACTCATCTGTAAACAAGTAATCAAGTGTTAATTTTTCTGGATTTATTAGGTCTTCTTGACTTCATTTATTTGACAGGATTTATGTGGTAATTGATACATACAAATAAAAGACACAATACTGTTTTCCTTTTTCATATACATGAGCTTTAGGATCATGAAGGAAGCACTACAATTTTAGTTCTAATTTGTGAGTTTGAAACATTGAGACTTAGTGTTAATGCTAGTTTTGTTAGGCTTCTTCATTTTCATGAGGAGTTCTGAATCTTACCTTCTTAGTGACTATTGGCACCGCACATGGCCTGTCCTTATTTAGCAACAGAGTTTCTGTCTTCCAGGTTCTTGCAGGAGACAATGACTTAATGCTCTTGACTGACCAGGTTCCCCCCACCCCCCCAATAAAAGCTTCCTTAGAAGAGAGAAGAAAAATAATGGAGTTAATAATGAAGTTTATCCATCATGTTATGCAATTTATTCATCATTTTAAATTAGTGATTTTTAGACTACTTTTTTTATGTTTGTATATTTATATATGTGTATTGGGAGGCTGAGAGGCTTATCTGGTGACCCATCTGGGCTTTAGGCTTTCTGTTTCCTTACCACCTGAAAAGCATCATTTTCTTCTATGTTGTGTATATGATTTTCATGTAAAACTCTTATTTGAATAAAAGATTCTAAGGCAAAAAAGTTGAAAACCTAAGGCTTTAGCTATTATGTGTTGTATTCTCAGACCAAGCTCGACCAGGAGAGAACTTTTTTCCCCGTTTGTAATAGAATGGTCATAATTGAATTGACCTTGTATTATCTCATAGATATGCATTGATCAAATTTGTACTGTTTTCTTTTACGAATGTTATCGATGACATTGTCCATATGTAACATTGTGCTCCCTTTTGAAAATACAGAAGAAACTTTTATTTCTGCTCTAAATTCTAGGAAAAGTTGTCCTTCTTCTGATCACATTTTTTATTTGTTCTTTTTGTTTTATTTTTATTGTATGACTACAATGAATTGTGTAGCCTGCAGGCTTTCTTTCCTCTTTGCTTTGACTACCTGTCTCAAAATTGAAATTTTTGGTCAGCTTTAGCAACTATACTGATTTTTTTAACAAGCATACACTATGTAGAAGTCAACCTCATCTTTCTGTTAATTTATTCATGTAATGTTTTTGTTCTTACCTGACAATAGACATTGCCTGAATCTGTATAATAAAATAAGACACAAATAATAAGAAGAAATAGATAATTGCATACATAAATTAGAAAATGTTGCCACATATTGTTTATTGCATTGTTCTACTGACTGGCTATAAAATTTTATAGATTCATTTTTCTGACTTTTATCATAAAAAGTATCAGGGTACCAGAGAGAAAAGAAAATTATAAACATAATTCATTATAATTTTGACTATAATCCTGGGGCTTTGAAATAACATATTTGAAATTTCTAATAGCATTAATGTTACAAACTTTCCCATGTCTTTTATGGTTGTTGTTTTGATTTTTTTTTTTACATGCTGAAATATTTTTAATCTTTAATGCTAAGTGACACATGAAAATACCTAAAATTTACTTGAGAAATAGTTAGTACAGCTTTAATTAATAAATCATTTTTTTATTTTAAATCTCTCTCTGCTCATAGTAATCAGATATCATAAATTCATCACTGTCTGTTATATCTAATAACAATTTACCATATATTTATTTTGGAAAAGGAAAAGCAAACAAACTTTTTTTAAAGTTTATGTACTATAATTTGATGAAGCTAACTAAAAGAAACCTCACATTTATCTTCTATGATTATATATGCATAAATATAAAATACTGCTTATTTAAGACCCATCTTATACTTAAAAAATAAGATAGTATGACAATGAAATCCCAAACAAGAAACTGCAAGATTTCCAATTCACTTAACAAAAGTCTTACATATCCAAGGAAAACTTTTCTTCTATTTTTATAATCTGAAATGTTTTTTTAAAAACGTGTAGTGATGGGATTGCAGAAAAAGTTATAGTATCTTTCCATTTATTTTTTTAATAATTAACATAAGTTATAGTATCTTTCCATTTATTTTTTTAATAATTAACATTTCCTTTAAAGCTCATAATAGTTAAGATAGTTAGTACTTTCTGTTAGACTTGCATTTCTACATTGAGTTGTTTCACTGACTTTCTTTCATTGGCATCCCCACGTGATACATCAGGAGAATCATTTTTCATAGTGCCAGTTGTGTACATGAGTTAGAAAAACCAACAGAAGTGTTTGATGATCCTTTACTTAATTCCATTTGCTTTATCTCCATATTTTTCTGTTTCTCTTATTTGTGTTAAGGAGCTCTGGTGGTGCAGTGCCTAAGGCATTTGACTGCTAACCAGAAGGTTGGTGGTTCAAACCCACCAGCTGCTCAGCGGAAGAAAGATGGGGCAATCTACTTCCATAAGGATTTACAGCCTCAGAAACCCAGTTGGGGTCACTATGAGTCAAAATTGACTCAATGGCAGTAAGTTTGTTTTTTCCTTTTAGTTGTATTGGTAGTTAGGTGTCAAGTGTGGTTATTATAAATAATATGAGAAGGTAATAACAGTAAATACTGACAAACTGTAATATGCCACACACTGTTCTAAGCACTTACATCAACTGACTCATATTTTTTTTTTAACTCTGTGAAGTAACTACTGTTATAATCTCCATAAAAATAAACTGAGACACACAGAGGCCAATCTTCTCCAACACCACGTAGCTAGTAATTGGTAGACCTAGGCTTTGAACCTAGGCAGTATGCTATTTCAATTTAATGAAGCTTGGGTTTTTTGACAAGATCAAGTGTATTATTATTTCCCTGTATCTTCTCTAACAACTTTTCAGTAATAAATACGAAAAACCTTCAAGATACTAGAGACTGCCACAGCAAAGTATATCAGTCTGACTTTCATCTTTGGGAAAAATTCTCATTCCTCTGAATTCATATGTCAATTATGCTTTCTGCAAAGAAATTCCAGATTTGGATCTGCAGTGCTTTCAGAAATCAGTGATGTACAGCAAAGAGCAGTAATATGATCTAAATTGACTTTTTTTTTTTTTTTTTTAGAAAATCTTATGTGAAATAATTTTATCTTTTAATAGGTAATAAAAGTCAGAGACATGTTCTGAGACCTGAATCTCTTGAAGGGACAGATGAAGAAGATCCAGTTACAGCCCTGGAATGGGACCCTCTGTCTACTGATTATCTTCTTGTGGCTAATTTGCATTTTGGAATACGTCTAGTTGATTCAGAATCACTTTATTGCATTACGACATTTAATTTTCCCACCGCAGCAGCTTCTGTACAATGCTTGGCCTGGGTTCCAAGTGCTCCTGGGATGTTTGTAACTGGTGGTAAGTTTCCCCTCATTCCCCAGAGTGGACCCAAGGGGTCAAAACAAGTGAGCATACCAGGCTGTCTACTTGCTGGCTCCCTTCATCTTCCGGTCCTAAAAGGAGATTCTTCTGATGGCCACTGACTCTGCCTTCCTGGCTGCACCAACAGCACACTGCTTGGTCGAAAATAAAGAAGCAAAACAGTCTTTTTTTTTTTTTTTTTTTCTACAGGTCCTCCCTTCAAAAGCAAATACCCTGCTTTCTCAGCAGTTTTGGTTCAGTCTGCATGTCTTTCGAAAGATTCTGGGTGGGGCTCAGATTTTCGACCTACACCTCCAATATTCTATAAATAGGGTTATTGCATTAAAACCAAAGCCTGTGTTCCTTTAGGATAAATTCTAGTTCTTCTTTTAGAAGTATTGGCTGAGGGGAGAGTTACATACTCCATAATCTTTAATACTCAATATTCATTTCTATCATGCATTTAAGTCTGTTTTTCAACACTGGGTAGGAAAAACATTCAGTATCCATAGTACATTCAAATAAATACAAAACTCTTTTTAAAACATTCAAGTTTCATCTTCTCCATCCCTTGATTGTCTTCCTATTTATATGCATATGTCCTTAGGCCTGTGGCTGGGTGCGCTCAGAAGACCCTGTCCCCCTATCAGTCATCTTGTTTAACTAGTCTGGTTTTTGCACCAAGCCACTCCAGATTCAGCTTTTCACCCCTCAGCTCAGCATAACATCTCCTGATTTCCTTCCAGACATTATAGGTAACAGCAACCAAAGTAACAATCTAAGAATCAAAAGTTTCACTTCACATGTACTTTCATGCTTTTTCTTACAAGGTCTTGTGCTTCCATGAGTCTGGAACTATTACAGTGAATTCTGCTTCTGATACCAACTATAAAAATGGTGTGGCGGGGGCATCTGACTCCCTGTAACTTCACAAGGGGAAAGGAGTATAAAAATTAACAGCCTAAGGCTGATTCCTATAAGGTGGAGGTCAGATGTACCTTCTTTCCAACTATTATACCAGTTCTAACACAACCATCACACCCAGGGCACTCTCTACTTCTCTTCTGTTTTTAATAATTCATTTCAATGACCACACAGAACTTGCAGATAATTGATATCCAGTTGTCCCAACATCATCAGTTGAAAAGATTATTTTTCCCCATTGAACTTTCTTGGCATAGATCTAGAATTTTACCATAAATTTATTCTTCCTATTCTATTGTTACAGCCTAACACCCTCCCTTCTTTTTCATTTATTAATGTGAATTAGTATATCTGCCATAGTTTAATATTTAATGTAACGTGTTGATCGCTATTTTCAGAGTGATGTTACTGTTTTAGTTGCTTTCAGATTACAGCTGACAAATCCTACTTTATGAATAGCTGCTTCATTCCCCTTTTGCAACTGCTGTTGAATATAAAGAACAGAATTTCTTTTTTGACAAAACATGAATCTTAGGCTTTGGTTGGATTATTATCATGACCCAAATGGGTAATATAAATCCTCCATACTTAGGTTAATAGGCTTAATATTTAATAATAATAATAATAATAACTCAAAACTCAACTGCCATCAAGTCATTTCCAACTCATAGCAACCACCACTGGGTTTCTGAGGCTGTAAATCTTTATAGAAATAGATCACCCTGTCTTTCTTCTGCAGAGTAGCTGGTGGGTTTGAACCGCTGACCTTCTGGTTAGCAGTCAAGTGCTTTATCCACCATGCCACCAGAGCTCCTTTAATAATAATACTGTTTAATAATCAAACAAATCATACATTTTTTACATAAGTTTTTATTTCATAAATCTTTATATAGTGTTTTTGCTTTGTGAGGAATGGTTGTAATTGTAATGAAGAGAATTTTCTTTAGATATCTGGTTTCATGTCTAAGTAAAGGTTTTACCATCAGACTAATTGGGTTTCAATGCCATCTCCACCACTAGTAGCAGTATGTCTTGGGCAAGCCACTTAGTATTTAAAGTAAATATAATAAGGTTCCTTGTTAACTTAATGATAAATATTATTGTTATTATATTCCATTGTCATACTCCAAACCACACTCATTGCCATCAAGTTAATTCCTACTCATGCGGACCCTATAGGACAAACTAGAACTGCCCCATAGGGTTTCTAAGACTTTACATCTTTATGCAAGCAGACTGACACATTTTTCTCCCTTGGGTCTGGTGGGTTCAAACCATTGACCTTTTGTTTCGCAGATGAGCACTTTAACCATTGCACCACTAGGGTCCCTGTTCCATTGGCATAGTTTATCATACTTCTTAAGCCTGAATCATGCCAAGTTTTGAGACATAGGAAAATATAAGAAAATTCTAATGAGGAGAGTGATATAACTTAACATTTACAACAAGATTGAGAGATGAGGGGAAAATGAAGATTGAGAATAGCTAATTATCAATCTGTCCCCTTTATTTATCATATATGCCACCTCTTGGAATAAGATATCATTAAAATTGTAGCTGTATTCTTGTTACAACTTTTATGGACACCACCTCATATTCCTGTGCTCTGACAGAAGTGCAGTAATTTGTGGGTCTCCTTTCTTTTTGAAGGGATTGTTACTTTTTTCAATTCAGATCTCCTGGTTGCCATGCAACTCAGTTCTCTGAGTGAAGAAAATTAAGATTTTTTTTTAAAAAGATTTTCTGGCATTTTTCATTGTTAGGATGAGAGTAACGTTCTCTTGCAACTCTCTGTATCCTAAGTGGAAGTAACTATCAAGGGTATTTTAAAATAAAAGGTGCTTTTTTTTCTTTATTACAACTGTTAAAAAAATTCTAAACAGTATAGAAGAGGCTAGGAGGTAAAAATGATACTCCTTTCATTACCACTTGTTAAACTAAAACCAAACTCACTGCTATTCAGTTTATTCTGACCCATGGTGACCCTATAGGACAGAATAGAACTGCCCCACGGGTTTTCAATGCTGTAAATCTTTATGGAAGCACACTGCTTCATCTTTCTCCCATGGAGCAGTTGGTGGGTTGGAACCACCAGCCTTTGGGTTAGCAGCTGAATGCCTAAACTACTGTGCTACCAGCACTCCTTCCCCTTCTTAAAGACAAAAGTAACTCTGGGACAAAATTAGGAAAAATATTTAGACGTAAACTTGTGACAAAGGAATTCATCAGCCCTCACTTTCATTTCCGCAGAGGTTCAAAGATACTTGGAAGTATAGTACATTTTATGGACTGAAAAGAAAACAAAAGTACTGAGACAGTCTCTGGCTAAAAGTTTTCTATTCAGGTGGAGTTTTGGGAAGTGAGAGAAGTGTTCTAACCAGTGTTCAGGTATAATTAGCAGTACTTGTTTGATGGCAAGTGAGTAAGCACAAAATTTATGAACCTTTCAAAGAGGAAGGGTTGTTTAGTGTTGAGGTGAAGAGAAATCTATGACTGGCCATTTCATAGAACAAGTTGGGGTCAGTGAGGAGTTTTTTTGTACTCAAATTATTATAATGGTCTTTATGGGGAGCCACTCCCCATAAAACATGCCAAAAATGTAACATTTGAATAGTATTTCAACAGTTTCTTGGACTGTACACATTATTGTTAGAAGAACATCAAGTTCTGCTCAAAATCTTGCAAGTTCAAATTTTTGGTTATTTTATGTATCGGAAATTTCATTATTTAACTGAATGCCTTCTTCCTGATCTCTAGATTCTCAAGTGGGTGTTTTGCGCATTTGGAATGTTTCAAGAACAACACCTATTGATAACTTTAAATTGAAGAAAACAGGATTTCACTGCTTACATGTACTTAATTCTCCTTCAAGGAAAAAATGTAAGTAAAAATATTATCACATTTTAAATATTTTAAAATATTGTATTTGCTCTCAAATAAATGACTGATACAGTGACAAAGATATATCAGATAACATATGCTATTGGAAACAACCTAAGTGCCCATCAGCAGATGAATGGATAAGCAAACTGTGGTACACAATGGAATACTAGAGATTTGGAGGACAGCTACCTGACCAACTGACTGGAAGAGATATATATTTGTGCTCATTCCAAAGAAAGGTGATCCCACAGAATGTAGAAATTATAGAACAATATCATTAATATCACATGCAAGTATGATCTTACTGAAGATAATTCAGAAACGTTTGCAGCAGTATATTGATAGAGAACTTCCAGAGGTTCAAGCCGGATTCAGAAGAGGACGTGGAACAAGGGATATCATAGCTGTTGTCAGATGGATCTTGGCTAAAGGCAAAGAATACCAGAAAGATGTTTACTTGTGTTTTCTTGACTATGCAAAGGCATTTGATTGTGTGGATCATGACAAATTATGGATAACATTGAGAAGAATGGGAATTCCCGAGCACTTGATTGTACTCATGAGGAATCTGTACCTTGACCAGGAGGCTGTCGTTCGAACAGAACAAGGGGACACTACATGGTTTAAAATCAAGAAGGGAGTGTGTCAGGGTTGTATTCTTTCTCCACACTTATTCATTCTATATGCTGAGCGAATAATCCAAGAAGCTGGACTATATGAAGAAAAACATGGTATCAGGATTGGAGGAAGAATCATTAACAACCTGAGATATGCAGACGATACAACTTTGCTTGCTGAAAGTGAGGATGACTTAAGGTACCTACTGATGAAGGTTGAAGAATACAGTCTGCAGTATGGATTACATCTCAACATAAAGAAAACAAAAATCCTCACAACTGGACCAATGAGCAGCATCACAATAAATGGAGAGAAGATTGAGGTTGTCAAGGAATTCACGTTGCTTGGTTCTACAATCGATGCCAACGGAAGCAGCAGTCAGGACATTAGACGACGTGTAGCATTGGGAAAGTCAACTGCGAAGGAACTGTTTCAAGTGCTGAGGAGCAAGGATATCTCCTTGAGGACTAAGGTGCGCCTGACACAAGCCATGATATTTCCAATCACCTGGTATGCATGTGAGAGCTGGACAATGAATAAGGAAGACCGAAGAAGAGTTGATGCTTATGAGTTGTGGTGCTGGCGAAGAATGCTGAAAGTACCATGGACTGCTAAAAGAACTAACAGATCTGTCCTGGAGGAAGTGCAGCCAGAATGCTCCTTGGAAGCAAGAATGGCCAGACTTCGTCTCACCTATTTTGGTCATGTTGTAAAAAGGGACCATTCCCTGGAGAAGGATGTCATGCTTGGTAGGGTGGAGGGTCGACGAAAGAGGGGGAGGCCTTCAAGGAGATGGATTGATACGGTGGCTGCGATGATGGGTTCAAGTATAGCAGGGATTGTGGGGCTGGCGCGGGATCGGGCAGTGTTTCGTTCTGCTGTGCATGGGGTCGCTATGAGTCGGAAATGACTTGACGGCACTTAACAACAACAACAACAACATTATAGAATTATGAAGAATCAACACATCACCCCATAATGTGGATGAACTTGGAGGATATTATGCTGAGTAGATAAGTCAGTCTTAGTACAAGTATTGTATGAGTCCACTATCATAAAAAGTTAAGGACAGTTTTACACAGGGAAGAAAATTTTCTTTGTTCGTTACCAGGGGTGGTGGGGAGAGGAAGGGAAGGAAAAAATATGGATAATTAAGACAGGTTTGATATGGGTGAAGGGAAAAGTAATATAACAAAAGTGTGTAACTAGCACAATATCACTAAGGAAAAGGAAGACACAGAGAGGTGCACAAGAGGTACAGACATTAAAGGCAGATACTATTACATACAGAGTACTACATTATCAGTAATAGGAAACACTAACCTACAAGTGGATACATAGGCAGACAGGCAAGAAGATCAGGTATGGATAAGCAAATGGGAGTATATCCACAACCATACATAGGTTTGGCAGACAATATTCCTACATATGTATTTGTACGTGGTATAAAAATGTCTGTATGCAGTTTAAACCTACAGGGGGCAAAGTTAGAATAACTTCTTAGCCACTACCAAGTACCTTGAGGGAGTGAGTTGCTGGGCCTGCAGATTGGAGTCCATGGTCACAGGAGACATCAAACTCAATGGGCATGACATAGTATACAAAAATACTGTTCTACATCTTACTTTGGTGAATTGCTATTGGGGTCTGAAAAGCTTGCAAGTGGCCATTTAAAATGAAACTTGGTCTCTCCTCATCTGGGGAAAAGAAAGGGGAAGAAAATAAAAGATACACTGAAACAGTTAGTCCAGACGACTAATGGACCATGAGAACCTCAGCCTACATGACACTGAGACCAGAAGAACTAGATTGTGCCCAGCTACCTATGCTAACCACTTGGAAAGTGAGAAAAACTGGAGATACTAGATAGAGTAGGGGGAAAATGTGGAACAAAACTCAAAATATAAAAAAGACCAGGCTTACTAATAGTGTCTGACACAGTCTGTTAAAACCCCTAAGCCTGTGACCCTGAGTCACTCTTAGGGCCTTGATGAACTCATTCCAGTAGCCTAACTCTCAGCCAAACAATTGACAGACCTATGAGCGGAACTCTTACACTAGAAAAATCCATTCCTTAGAACAGGCAACTATGAGACATCAGAAGGGCAGCATTTTCACAGGCGGGGAGACAAGAATGCATTG